ATATACAATGGTAGGAACGACTATATTTGAGAGGTTTATAAATCAATAGTGTGATTTTGTAGAGTAGAAAGAGCTATAATTTTGCAGTCCGGTATCGTGGTTAACCTGTAACCAGTGATACAGTAGTAGTCTTGGTAGCAAGAGCTCATATGACCATAAATGGTGAAGGGTGTATGGGTGAATTTAGAAAGATATATTGTGAAATTCTATCCAAGCAGAACCTAGAAATTAACAGAGGTAGCCAAGGGAAAATAGAACAATGCTGGCATCCACATAATGGCTGGGATATGTCCAGAGGACAAAAAGGTGAAAAGAACAAGCCGAGGAAGACTTCTTACTTGATCCGAGGAAGACTCCTTACTTCATCAGGACGACCACCAGAGGGGGGCTGCGCAAGCGCAGAAGTGGCTGATGTTATAATAGACTAATGTGGCAATCCTTAATGCATATGTATTAGTGAATGATGCAATCTGTATTAGTTATGTAACCTTCAGTGTACAAATTGCGAACGTGATGTGACGAGGTCGAAGCCAGATTTGGGCGCGTGCCCCTGGTTTCCCAGCACTGCAATAAAGCACCTCATATAACCATTCCGGTGGTTATGTGTCAGTTCCTGCGCTAACATTTTGGCGACCCAGATGGGACCTCGCGGGCACTGCCGAGGTGGATCGCATTTTGGTCCTGCTCCAGCCGGCACCGAGAGATTCTCGGGGAGCCATCGACCGCGACCGACCTCCGCTGCTCACGACGGACCTCTGATATGGTAAGGAAAGGTGCTTTTTCTTTTTTTCTGGTTCGGTCACAGTGCCGATTTTGTAAAGTATGGTTTGGTAATTACAGTATTAAATTTTCGTATGGTTTGGTAATTATGGTACCGAATTTTGGTAAAGTGTAAGGGTACAGACTTCTGATAAGCTTGGCTGTAGGCGAAGCCTGCTTGGTTTGGTGAAACTTTGGCTTCAAAAAGTCTACCAGAGAGATGCGGTGAAAGCTGCATCTGGCCTCGCGAAGTCTGATTTGGTAAAGCCTGCCTGTTAGACGCGGCGAAAGCTGCGCTTGGTTGGGGCTAGGGAGCTCCCGGGGTAAAAGCCTAGGCGCCGTCCGTTAGACAGTAGCGAAAGCTCTGCAGGTTCGGCAGAAGTGGTATTGGTATTGGTATTTGTGCTGCGGGATCAGCATCTGTCTGTCTAAATGTTGTAACTTAGTGGCGAGTGTGTGGTGTGTGTGGAGTAGAGAAAAAAAAAGGTGAAAAAAAAGAAAAAGAAAAGGAAAAAAAAAGGAAAAACAAAAGGAAAAAGGAAATAAAAAAGGAAAAAGAAAAAAAAGAAAAAGAGAAAAAAAAAGAAAAAAAAAGAAAAAGAGAAAAAAGAAAAAAATGCTGTCGGTTCCCAAGTCCTCTCCATTAGGCTGTATTTTAAGCCATTGGAAGGAGGGTGGATTTGGACAGAGTATGCTGAAAAGCAAATTAATTAATTATTGTAATGTATGGTGGACACAGTATGAACTGGGGGATCAGGAGAAATGGCCTGAAAAATGGGACTTAACCATATAATACTATACTGCAGTTGATGTTATAACAGGAAAGACAAATGGGACAAGGTGTTATATATAATTCTTTTCTTTAAGAAATAATGATGAGTGGCAAAAATCTTGTGAAATAATGGGTGTAAAGGTAAATGTTAATGAACAGTGTAAGGAATGTGTTACTGAGAAAATGTATAAAGTGCCTTGTTTTAGACAATAGCTTACAACACCGGAGGGATATTGAAAGTTTGGATTTGGCAGTCGCTCTGTCAGCCCCGCCAGCATTAAATGAAGAAAGGGGGGGGAGAAGATGAGTGATAGTGACCTCGAGAGTCTGGATAGTTGCGAGTGTAAAAGAGATCAGAAAGCAAGCCTCCCCATTACCCCAGTCTTGCATAGAACTCGCCAGAGGGGAAATAAAAAGAAAAGTGCAGGCTCAGACGTCCAGAGGAGTGCTTGTGCCTTTAAGACAGGGAGTTGGAACAGAAGGACCAGTGTGCATTAAAGTACCCTTCTCACCTGGAGATTTATTTACCTGAAAACAATCAGCAGCAGAATTTGTTGGCAGCAACCCAGGGGAGAGAACAGCGTCTCTCTAACCCTAGAGGAAGAGGATTTTGTAATCCAAAAGCAAGAATGAATGTAGAAAGGTTAGGATATAATCAACGTGCATACTGCAAACAGGAAGGACACTGGAAAAATGAATGTCCATTTAGGGGAGGACAATTTATGTCTCCAGGGAATTCTTTTATGGGATCTGATGCAGCTAAGGCGATGGTGTTAGGAGAGTTTGATAACCAAAGCTGACTAGACAGGGTGAGAAGTGAAGAGCCCCTCGTGAAAATCCAATTAGGAGAGGAAGAAGTAAAATTTTTAGTGGACACAGGGGCTACCTATTCAGTTTTAAATGATTTACATGGAAGATTAGGGGAAAGAACTACAACAATTGTGGGAGCCACAGGGAAGGAGGAAATATGACCATTATTGCAGCCCCTGGATCTGCGACTTAGAGGAAAGGAATTAACACACAAATTTCTATATGTACCTGAATGCCCCATTCCCTTTTAGGATGGGACTTATTGGCCAAATTGGATGCAGTGATTATTTTGAAAATGGTGAATATAGATTAGTATGGGATCTGAGGGTAATAAATGAGAAATCAATTACAGTTCTTTTGCATTCGGTGTGAAACTATAACCTCGTTGGAACAGTTGTTGTGGATCAAATATTATTGTCATAATAGCTGACGAGAAATATACATCTGACCTGCCAGAGAGGGCAAGACCGGAGGGAATCAGTGCTGCAGCTGGAAGGGTCTGCCAAGGGCTGCAACCCCTGGGGCTGTGACCGCTGAGCACTATGATCCTGACCGGACCTCTTTTGGCAATGGTTCTGTTTGGGCCCATATAGGCAAATGTCGCAGCTGATAAAAGCGACGACTGTAATGAATGCATTACCACAACTAGACGAGGGGGAGTAACCTCTCAAATACTAGTCTATCACACCATGTATGAATGTAAAGGAACAATAATTGGCAATTGTGTACACAACCAAACTCAATACAGACTTTGCAAAGAAAGAAAAATAAAATGGTTTAAAACAGAACTGGGACACAATTTGGTCAATGAGCATTTTGCAGAAATTTCAATATATCGAAAATACATCTTGGTGCCTTAAATGGACAGGAAAGCAAAACGTAGCAGAGAATATAGACATCGATGATTTGCTGTCTATAAATAGGGTTAGTTGGGATGTTATCAAAAACGTTCCTTGGTGGAATTGTACCAAAATTTTAGATTGTGACACGGACCCTGAGGAAATCACAATACCTCTAGTTAAGATTGCTTTAATGGCAGGATTTGCATGCCGGGGACTAAAATTGGAGGAAAAGGAATACAGGTCCTAAGTGACGATGAAGATTGTAAATATTCTACAGTGCGTAGTATAGGACATTTTGTTTGGGCAGCAAGTGATGGAACCTGGACTACTCACCTACCCATATAACCAAAAAAAAAATAAATTAAAAAAAAAAAAAAAATCACCCTGGGATTACCAACTCTTTGTCCAATTTGGAAAAAGTCACCAGTCAAAAACAAGTTAGAAACCCTGCAAATTCGAACAAAAAGAAATGTAGATGATGATGATGATGATGACACATGGCAGGAGCCCTCCACAGGGGTTTTTGAATCTTTATTTGCACAAATAGCAGCATATCAAAATAGAGAAATGATTGACAGGCTGATTGGCCAAACAAAAAGATTAGCCAGGGTGACAAAGAAAGGATTCAGAGATTTAAATTTGCAATTACAAGCACCAACTAAAATGATTTTGCAGAACAGAATGGCATTAGACCTGTTGTTACTCAAGGAACATGGTGTTTGTGGATATTTGAAAGGTAGCATAGATCATTGTTGTGTTCACATTCCTAATGTAACTGCAAACATAGAATATGATATTTCCCAGCTGACCAAAGTGGAACAAGAAGCGGAAGGAGAAAGAAAATATATTGAACAAAATTGGATTGGAGCACTCTTTGATAGTTTAGGCCTTCACCTCACTGGATGGGTCCGTTCCCTTTTGCAAACAGTAGTTGTAATGATGATTGTGTTCTTAATGCTGTATCTGATGTATTTTTGTATTCGAAGAGAAATGGCTCGGAACAATGCATGGACTCATCGAATTATAGGGACAGTAATTAAAGAATATCCAAAGCCCCCCCTCTCCTCCCACATATCAGGAAACAGCTACCTAAGGAAATGAAAATACTTGACTTAAGTTGAGTGAAGTATTTTCAAAGGGGGGAAATGTTGGAAAAGAGTGAAATTTTTGAAAGATAGAATAGTTATATATGTATAACTGGTAGGAATGATTATGTTTAAGAGGTTTATAAATCAATAGTGTGATTTTGTAGATTAGAAAGAGCTATAATTTTGCAGTCCGGTATCGTGGTTAACCTGTAACCAGTGATACAATAGTAGTCTTGGTAGCAGGAGGTAATACATCTGTATATGGTGAAGGGTATAGTGATAAATTAGGAAAGTATATTGTAAAACTCTATCCAAGTAGAACCTAGGCATACCAGAGGCAGTCAAGGGGAAATAGAACAATGCTGACATCCACATAATGGTTGGAACATGTCCAAAGAACAGAAGGTGAAAAGGACAAGCTGAGGAAGACTTCTTACTTCATCCGAGGAAGACTACTTACTTCATCCGAGGAAGACTCCTTACTTCATCAGGACGACCACCAGAGGGGGCTGCGCAAGCGCAGAAGAGGCTGATGTCGTAATGGACTGATGTAGGGCATACGTGTTAATTGGTGATGTAATCTGTGTTGGATACTGTATAAATTGGGAATGCTAGGTGACAAGACTGAAGCCAGATTTGGGCGCGTGCCCCTGGTTTCCCAGCGCTGCAATAAAGCACCTCATATAACCATTCCGGTGGTTATGTGTCAGTTCCTACGCTAACAAACCCAACAATGCAGAAATACAGAAGCAGCCAAGAGGTCAATATCAGCAGGGAGAACAAGACCACAAAGCACACTGTGTTTTAATTTATAGGAAGAAGCGGCCTCTCCTCTCTTTTCTTCCAGATACTGGTTTTGCTATCTCTTCTCATGATAGATGGTCTATCCCTTTTTTTAGCAGAAGGGATACCACATTCACGACTTCCTGATACAGTTTTTCTTTTCAGACCTTCTTCATGTTGTTCTATGACTGGTACATTCCCTCCATCCATAAGGTATCTCACAGCCTGGTCCTCTGTAGTGCAAACAGTGGTCCCACTTTCACTGCTACTCAGATCCAGGTCTTCCAAGTAAAGGATCTTAGAATGAGGCATAGTTTTAATGAAAGTTTTCTCTCTCTCCAGTTTCCTACCAGGATGATGCTCATTCATGTCCACACCAGAGTCCAGACTGGTATCATTACTCTCTGTTTTTCTACCCTTTTTCAGATCTATGAAAGAATGCCTCACTTGAGCGACTGGCTTTCCATCCAGGGACACAAACCATGCTCGAGGGTGTGGACATGGTTTTCCTTTAGAGAGTTCCAATAATGTTTGTTCTGAAATACCTTGAAGTTCAGATGAAAATGGAGTCATTACAACTGCTTCATTCAATGTCCCAGGAACAGAGACGGATTCCAGCAAGCTATTAGTGTACCGCCCCCAGTTTGAAGTCTGAGATGGTAAGCACTCTTTGCTATCTAACACACTGTTTTCATCTCTGCAGACAGAAGGCTGTGGATGAGAGTGACCTGGCATTTTCGGTAACGTTTGCATGTAACTGTCGTGATTCGTGGGTTCCATCATGGGGCTATAAACTAACTGCCCTTTTCTTGGCAAAGTTGCTGATTTAGCAGGATGCAATTGTTCTGGGGAGTGGAAAAGGTCAGAGGTTTGAAGAATAGCAATAGGTTGATTGTAAATATGCATCAGGTGTTCTGGGATATGGGCAAGCCCATACATCTCCTCTTTCAGTGAAAGGTATCTGTTTTGGTCTTGAATGTCCCTGGGAGCCTGGGAAATAGTACTGCTACTATGCTTCAGCTGCTGTAAATGCCTAACTCCAGCACTAGGCTCCAATGAATGGGCTGAATTTCTTGACTGACCAGTCTGACAGGATAAATGGTAAGAAGCATTCTCTGTGTAGATTTTAAAATTGTCTCGTGATTTTCCATCTTCTGTGGCTATGGACATCCTTCTTTGAGGGCTGTATGAAATCTTGGATGTGTATAGCTGTGACTTATCCTCCAACTTTAAAGATCCTTTGACAGCACTGATGTGATTTATGTGTGTAGTTGATGTAGTCTGGTCTTTTTTGATGACCTCCAGCTTAGTTGTACTTTTTTCCTTCTTTTGTGTCCGACCACATTTATCCCTAAGCAAAAAAGATGCAGGGTGACTGTAGAGCATACCAAGAAATACTATACTGTTGACTTCCAGAGCTGAAGATCAGATTTTGTTAAGAACTGTAATGTGCCATCACAAACTTTAAACAAAGTTCTGTAATAACAGTGATTTTTAAAGACATATTAGGCTATGCATTATAGTTTAGCTAAGGAAACAAGCCTCAACTTCAAAAGACTATTTTATCAACCTTAAATTCCATTCATGCTGAGCTTATTTTCGCTTACCTGCAGTAACAAAGAAGAACAGCAAAAAATCCAATGATAATGACAACAGTACCTCCCAGGATGGCAGTCAGAAACACTGTGTGATAGGCTGTGATGTCCTTGGAAACTGCACTAATAATGGATTCTAGATTGCCAAGCAAAAAAAGAGTTAGCTCTCAAAAACAATTCCGCTTCATATGCAAAGCTGTAGCTAATAAATTAAACTATACTTTTTCAGTAATTTCGTGTTGCTATGGCACTATGTTTATCCTTTCCTTTTCACCTTGCTATTTCAAGCTGAAAACATTCAGTGGTTACAATGTAATACATCTTGAAAGGGTCATCTCAAGTATTAAAGCCTTACATGACATCTACTCAATTCCAGTCAAATTACGCTTGTATTAGGTGTCCATTTAGAAATATGATCCATATTTTCTGCATAGTGCTTCTGTCAGAAAGTGGTATGTTTTTAATTTGACATCCTAGTTCTCTGATAAGAAACCCTTCATATGAATTTGCAAAACATTCAACAAGTTTACATAAAACAGAATTCACTGGGGCTGTTCTACCCAAGATTAATTTTTTCACTGCATTTCCTCCTGTCATCTCTGATCCTCTACAGTAAGGGATACAGTCCTGTTGATTTCTAGCTCTCCATAGGCACAGCTCCCTTGCAGGCTTCTCCCAAAAGACGGTGACAGTATAAACATGTAAATTCAAATACAGTCTGGACTTTTCCCCCTTTAGTATCTGAAGTTCTAGGGAACAGTTACAAGCACAAAGGCACACTATCAGGATGCAAACAGAAGTTATCCAACTGTTCAAACTGCATGTTGTTTTTCCCTTTCTGCTGTTAAATAAAAGCAATCAAACTGACAGCCTTACAGTATAGTATTACTTGGGTTAGCCAGTGATCTCTTTGCCAGTTGTTGCAATACCTCTTGCTCCGGGCAGTGGAGCTGCTATCCAGTAGCCTAAGTGTTGAGCAGTGTATGTCCATACTAATTGACCATCTGCTTCCTTTACCATTCCTAGCCCTTGACTTACCCAAGCACCTGGAAAAAAAAGACAAAATATTGCACAAGTCATGAAGCATTCTTCTATAGATCAAACCATTAGTGATTAAGCTGTTAGCAAAAATACACAAGGTCACAGGAAAAACAGAATCTTATTACTATGCATCATTACACAACCTTAGCTAAACATGCATACTTTCTCTCTTGGTAATTTCACTGCAGGAATCCCTGAGTGGGCATTTACTTTGAAACAGAACATCAACATTATTTACCAGAATTAATTTAATGTAATTTCTATAAATATCTTTCATAGGTAAGCACACAAATCATGCAAAAAATCCTGTTCTATGAGGTTAAGCATGTATGAGGTCCAAGACTTAAAAAAAAAATAAAAAATCAAGGAGCAGGTAATTTAAGCATATGAATACAAATTTAACATTAACTAGCAGCACTTTGAGGGAAAGCATTTTAATCTAATAAACTACAATAGGATGAACAATGTTTGTCTTGAATAATTCTCTCCCCCTCCCTGCCAAAAGGTAGTAACAGTTCAGTTAACCCAAGGAAGGTCTATTGTTAAGATACAGATTCTACACCGTTTAGCTATGCAAAAGACAGGTATTACAGTATGCCAGCTTCCACAATTAATAAAGCATGTAGTAGAAAAGACAGAGCTACATTTGAACACATTTATCTGTGAAATTCCAAGGACAGAAAACAACTTCATATAAACAACCTTACATTTTCAAACTGCAAATACTAAGAAGGCGAGAGAACCACCAGCTTTCTTAAAATAACACTAACCAAAGCACACAAAAAGTATAATTCATATAAGCCCTATCATTTTGATTTTCCTCCAAGATCTTTCTTTCAGCAAAGTGAAAGGAAAAATCTACCATACAGGAGGAATCTGAGAAGTGACACATGCTGTGTCACTTCACACCCACACACACAAAGTATCATTCCGCAGTAAAACTTGCAGCCTTTTCCTGGTAACTTGTGACAGCTGGCAGAGGGGAACAGCAGCAGCCACCTAGAGCCCTCAAAGAGGTGGTTTCTCAGTTACTCAGTCACCTGGAAATCCTCTTCTCCAGATTCAGGAGCAAAACCAGCCAGAAAAGTCTTCTATCCCTAATTCTCATATGGAGGCAACAACAGGTCCCAAAATTCTCTGCCCTCTCAACTCTAAGGCAAGATGGTGCTATACTGTAAAACCATTGTTTTACAAGTATTGAGGGTAGGCTACTTACAGACAGATACAAACCCTACACAAACCACCACTACAAAAGGCAATAAAAAATTTTAGGTTTCCAGAAGCTCCACCTTGACTGAACAAACATGTAAGAAGCTATATAAACTTTGCTGTCCTCTTCAGCAGATTATCTCTTCCACAGTATACTGCATAGAAAATAGTACATAATAAGAAAAACACTAAGATGTGATTTTTTTTTTCTTGATTTCAGGAGGGCATTTGATACTGTCTCCTACAGCATCCTCATAGATAAGCTAAGGAAGTGTGGGCTTGATGATCAGGTAGTGAGGTGGATCAAGAACTGGTTGAAAGGAAGAAGGTTGAGAGTTGTGGTCAATGGGGCAGAATCTAGCTGGAGGTCTGTGACTAGTGGAGTCCCTCAGGGGTCAGTGCTGGGACCAGTGCTGTTTAATATTTTCACCAATGACCTGGATGAGGGAACTGTGTGTACCCTCAGCAAGTTTGCTGATGACACTAAACTGGGAGGAGTGGCTGACACACCAGAAGGCTGTGCTGCCATTCAGTGAGACCTGGATAGGCTGGAGAGTTGGGCGGCGAGAAACTTGATGAAATTCAACAAGGGCAAGTATAGAGTCTTGCATCTGGGGAAGAACAACCCCATGTACCAGTACAGGTTGGGGGCTGACCTCCTGGAAAGTAGTGAAGGGGAAAGGGGCCTGGGGGTCCTGGTGGATAGGAGGATGACCATAAGCCAGCAATGTGCCCTTGTGGCCAAGAAGGCCAATGGCATCCTAGGGTGCATTAGAAAGGGTGTGGTTAGTAGGTCAAGAGAGGTTCTCCTCCCCCTCTGTCTTGGTGAGGCTGCATCTGGAATATTGTGTCCAGTTCTGGGCCCCTCAGTTCAAGAAGGACAGGGAATTGCTTGAAAGAGTCCAGCGCAGAGCCGCAAAGATGATAAAGGGAGTGGAACATCTCCCTTATGAGGAGAGGCTGAGGGAGCTGGGTCTCTTTAGCTTGGAGAAGAGGAGACTGAGGGGTGACCTCATCAATGTTTACAAATATGTAAAGGGTGAGTGTCAGGATGATGGAGCTAGTTTTTTTTCAGTGATGTCCAGTGACAGAACAAGGGGCAATGGGTGTAAACTGGAGCATAGGAGGTTCAATGTGAACATCAGGAAAAACTTCTTTACTGTGAGAGTGACAGAGCATTGGAACAGGTTGCCCAGGGGGGTTGTGGAGTCTCCTACATTGGAGATATTCAAGGCCCGCCTGGACAAGTTCCTGTGTGATGTACTCTACCTTACCCCGCTCTTGCAGGGGGGTTGGACTAGATGATCTTTTGAGGTCCCTTCCAACCATTGGGAATCTGTGAATTATGAGTAAGCACATATTCTCTAGCAATTACTGCCAAGCAGCGCAATATTGTTCTCAATTTAATGTTGGAATGCGAGCTTGCTTTTTTTTTTTTTTTTATTCTGTTAAAATCTACAAAGTACTTCTGGTACTAATGAGGCAAAATACTTAGAAAGAAAAAGAAGGAAGCCACATTCAGTATACATCAACAAATTCTGCATTTACAGCAGCTGGAACATAATTAGAAAACCTCATTTTCCAGGAACAGTCTTAGTACTATTACACTTAAAGTAACCCCACGGAACATTGCACAGGCAGACACGTGAAAGCGGTTTCTATCTTTTTTCTGATGCATATAGATTAGTCTACACAACTTCAAACACAGACCTGCTCCCTTACCACTATCAATACTGACATGGAAGCTCTGATTACCATTATGACATATTATCCAAGGACTTCAGCGTTTAAAAGAGTGTGTCAAGATACTGCTGGGGACCATCCCACACACTACATCTAGGATGCCAAATCCTCATTATTCAGTGCAACAGTAGGCCTCCGTTCAGCTCAGTTGGAGGCCTACTGTTACTTACGTACCCTCTTGAATGCTTGCTGGAGAGCTGAGGTGTTCAACTGTCTGCAGTCACCAGAACCTTGACTAAGAAATACCTTGCTATTACTCAGTTATCTTAGAAAAAAGTAGTTTTGCACATGTCAAATCAAAGGTAAACATCAAAGAAACATATTTAAGAATAAACCTCCGGAACAACAAATACAGTTCCAAATTTTCACTGCAGAGAAGAGATGAGGAAGCAGAAGAAAAAGTGAAAGTTAGAGTTATGCCCCAAAAGTCCCTCTTTCTTGTCCACAGTCCTCCTAGTCCTCTCATCAGCAAGCATCAATGAATGCTCCATGCAGACACTACACCTCAGTGAGCACCCACTATAAACAGTTCACCTCTATCAGAGAACACACCATCTGACAGCTAAAAAACAACTGTTTCAGTTGTGCTGGATCAACAAGCCACGCTCCTGTTTTTGCTGTACCAAGGCCAACATGCCTACATAGGCCTGTTGAGTATGTCCCTCAACAACCACATACACATCTTACACTGGTTTATACTCTAACCTGATCCTGCGCTGAGCTACTCTGTCAACTTTTTGTTTTAATAACACTGTGTAATAACACCAGTTATCCATTTAGTGAGATAAAACAACTCAGCACAGGTACAGATTAACAAAGGAGCTGGCAAAAGTGGCTGTGGCAGCAAGAAATTAAATCCCCTTGTGCTATTTCACCATGTCAGACTAAAATCCTTTCTTGAGTCACCCCTCTGAAGTCTTCTAGGTGTATAGATAGATTTAATCTATTCCAAAAGTTACTCTAGTCACTGTTATCCCAAGAGACAACCTAGTCATTTTTATTAACATGTTCTCAATTCAGTGTTCTTTGTTCTTTAAGATGATAGATTTGTTTCTTGAACACGTAAACAACACTTTTTGGATCTGGTGTCCCCTGCCGTACTTCTAACAGTTGAATAACAGCTTTTTGCCTTAATAAGGAGTAAAACACTTACCTCTTCACTCGCTTGCACATTTAAAGCCAAAGTGTGATGGAAATTATAAGGTACAATGTAAGACTATCAGTACACTTGTCCTGTATTAGGTGTGTACGCACATCTAAATGGGATAAGCTTATCTACCTCATTACTTACTACTGACTAAAATTAGACATGAACGGCTGACAAAAGGTTTAGAATGTCTAATCTTCAGGCTCCTCTTCCAACACATACTGTAAGAACAATGTTGTTCCCTTTGATAACTCTTATTTTGGCTTAATTTCATTTTCTGAAATGCTTTTGTTAACTGAAGTAGTATCTATTCCAGTTTTAGTGTCAAAGGATCTTTACAGCTATACTCCATGAAAAAAACATCCAAATCTTTAAGTCTGATTTTCTTTTAAAAAGGCATTCAAAAAATTACCTGGCTTAAAATTTAACATCACCTAAAATGTATGTCCCCTGAATCCTTAGCCTCCCATCAAAATAAAAATCCACTTATTTTAAAATTTGTTCAATCGGAATGCTAATGAATTTTACCAAAGCTTTTTGAACTAATGAAAGCAGGGAAATTCATTTGAACAATTCAAGCTAATCAATAAAAAAAAAATTAGTGACTATTTATCACCAGCTCATACATTAGTGCAATCCCTCTTCCATGACATACAGTGTTATATGGCCAAAACTATATACATGTGCCAAAAGGCAGAATAACAAATAACTTAGTCCACTTACCAGTTTTCATATCAAATGCCCATGCAGGTACAACATCTCCTGATTTTACAGTACTTGTGGGAAGAGGAAGTGTAATCTGAATGGGACCATTTACTTTTAGTTCTTTCCCAGTTAAACGAACGCTTACACATATTGCAGCAAGAGGAGCTAATTCCATGCTTTTGAAACCTATATGTGAGAAATAGCTTGGCTATAATTCTCCATTCAAAGTGTATTTAAAAAAATATATATTTATAATTAAGACTATATCCTAATTGTAATTAGAACTGAGCCCCCCATTCATATTCAGCTACACAGTAGATATCACAACTCAGTGAAATAAAAATCAACATTTTTCTCTTCTGGAATTTCAAAATGCGACTAAAATAAACCCTAGTCATTTCTATACCAAATCTGTAAAAGCGAAACAGACTTTTGACATATAGGTTTAATGATGACTGCAGAAACAACAGTGAGGCAAAATCTGGCTTGGGTGTGAGGGAAGATGGTTTTTAGCCCTCAGATAATGTGACTGCAAAACAGCTATCCTATGATGAAATACAAAGATTTTTTGTATAATTGCAATATATGTAACACTGAATCAAGCTGAAGCCATACGCAAACATATGACTGCTGCATTTTTCCTTAGTTGAACAGTCCTCTTAAAACTTTCCTGTAAGGATTAACTTTCTAATTTGGCAGGTATAATTAACTGAATAGTTAATCATGAGGCTTGTCAGAACGCTCACAGAAAATGTTGCATATTCACAGTTTTACAGTGAAGCCTGAAAGTTTTTCTTTGTTTTCCTTAATGCTAATTTGCAAATACTTCAGAATGACAGTATGATGAAACACTGTTAAATTGATTTAAGCTGTAAGAAGCTGGCTGTGAGAAAAATCCTGGTGCATCCAATATCAATTAGCTTCCACCTGCCCTAAAAGAAAACTTATTCCTTTAGGAGTATATGAATAATTTAGAACACATGACAGACAGATTAAAAGGAAAACCTGAAGGGGAGAAATACTGTTTATTCTCTTATACTTTACATGTAAAGAGGTGAAATGAAGGTAAGAAAAGTTTTTAAAAGCTTTGATGAAAATTAAATGAGCATGACAAGTTCAAACAAGTTATGTAGTGGCTTCCTCATGTGCTGCTATGAATTTAAGAGCCTCACGGCTTCAGTTCAACTGGGAATAGAAGAACAAAAGAAAGATGAAGCTGCACACAGTACTATCTACCAGAGACTGTATTTATGCAAATAATAAAAAAAATCTGTAGAATGACAAATACTGAAAGATCCAACTGCATATGCGCATGAAACTACCTACTGCTTCTCCAATGAAACAAATGCACAGAAAAAATTATTACAGCTGTGCTCTGTATACACAGTGACTACTTCATTTCAAACAGGCTCACACAGATTATCTTGCCCATGAGCTAAACATGAGCTTCCATAAAATTTTTATGCTAGGTGTAAAGTTCCTAGGGACAGCAGCCATTTTAGTGAAGACGCAGAAAACCCCACAGCTGAAGTCCACTGCTGCAGTTTCACTTATTTCTTTAGGTTAATCTAGTTTACACGCTGACCATAACTGTATTTTTACTTAAGTGTGTGTATATATTTATACACATACATGTTTAGTAAACACCTTATATACATACATATATATATGTGAAAAGCAGATTCTGAAGGAGTATTTCAGTTTAGTAAGATATGCTATGTTCTAATACTGCATGGAGTAAGGGAAAAAGTGACATTAATCACTCACCTGACGCATTTATAGAAGAAAGCTTTAATGCAATGGAAGCAAGTTCAGGCCCTTTTAATTTAAGCATATGTTTTTCTGTAACACTCATATTCATTATAATTAGAAGATTTCTTCCCTAAAAAAAATTCTTAACATATTTACATACCTGATTTGCTTAGAAGAATTCCTGTTGAATAGACAAAGCTGTCTACTTTCAGAAACTGCTCTGGCACTGTCAGATAGGCTGTTACATTTGTAATATGTCGATTTGTTGGAAGCTTTATTAAAAATTTTGGAAACTGAACACTTGGTTGCGATTTGGCATCTATAAAAGAGTGAAATTTTGTCTCAGCAATGGTAAAATACACAAACAGTTCTTCTATTACTGTGCAGAAATCCATTTAGTATAAAAACCTGTTTTCACCCATTTTCTCCATGCTTTGTGTATGTCTAGCACTTGTCACAGCCACACGTACAGATGCACACTTAACTGAAAATCTGGTTTTGAGATAAGCATTACATGAGGATGTGAACATACTTATATTTTTTTTGTATATGTACAGATGGTTGTCACAAAGTGTTTAGATTATAGTCTGCATAGCCTGAACTTACCAGACAGTTTTCCAGTAATTAAGACAGTATCTTCAAACAGCCACATATTAGCTTGACTTTGTGGGAATAATGAAAGCATCACAGAAGAATATACTGTGGAAAGTAATAATATCTGTTACACTGTGAAACTGAAAAAAATCCTGCAAGATACCCGATTCTGAAGGAATAGTGAACAGAATGGTTAAAAAGAAAAGTATATATGAAGACTAGATAAATAAATCAGTCCTGCTGTCCAGAGCAGGAATTTTAGTGGTTAGGTAGGAAGGCCTTTGTTATGTGTTTGCTACTGTCTTATGCCTTCTATAGATAAACAAGTGCCTGGAATTCTTAAGATTCCACTTCTTTAAAAAAAAAAAAAAACAAACATATCATTTTTAAGAACATGAAATAGCTAAAAGGAAAACTTGTGAGGAAACACTGCTGAAAGGAAGCTGTAACAACAAGGTTATACCCGTTACACAGGACTCAAAGCACCAGCAGTCCAGGAATTACTAAAGACTGTATGACTTTTGTCAAAACACATTACCGTCTGAGTCTAGGTAAACAATTTCTTGGAATACACTCACAGTACCACAATATAACCTACTGAGAGTTAAAAAGGGCTATTTTCTGTTTTATAGTAATGAGAATTTTGATTAGTCTAACAGACCATTTGCCCTTACATCTGCTTTGACAGGCACCATCTCCCTTGACTGACATCAGTCATTTTCAGTTGACAGTAACTACCCAGACTGCTGAGAAAGAGAGAAATTTAATTACTGACAGATAGGGTTTAATAACAGGACTATAAGACGCTTACATACTTGGTATTCTCCCAGTCTTCCAAGGAAAAGGTGTTAACATGTAGCCATCCTTGTATGATACGATAGTTAAGCTTACTCCTAATTTATATGGAACTTTTATTAATACTGCTCCATTGCTTCCAGTAAGAGTAGAATTTGTCTTTGTGTAGTTAACAAACACTTCTACAACCGCTTGTCGCAGGTACTGATGGCTGATTATGTCATTTACTTGAACTTTCAGCATAAAAACAGATCCTATTAAAAGAAAGAAAGGAGGTCATAATACATCATAACTAAGGAACATAACTTAAATTTGTAAAAAAATCCTAGAGTTTATGCCTTGGCTATTAATTCACTGTACAGTCTCTCTCTCTCTCTCAACAAAGGTAAGTTGTGGCCAAAAAAAGGGGGTAATCGTACAATTACATACCCCAGAGAATAAGGAAGCACAAAGGAAGAAGGAAAAGACGATACACAAAGATAACAAAAATTGTTTACCAAGCTCAGAAAATACCCAAGTTAAAAAAAAAAAAAAACCAACAACCACAAACAAATCAAATTTACAAAATAGTTTTTCCCTTTTTTGTTTAAGCTTGAACAATGCATCTGTGACAACATTAAGATCTGATGTGCCTTGCAAGTGCTCTGCACTATTACACAAATAATACAGATGGGCTTGTCATTCAACTGCAACCCTTGGCTTGGGTCACACATTTAAAGATGCACCTTGAATTCTACAGACAGGGGTGCCTCATGTCTATGTACTGTGGGACGGCACATTTATTATTACACGTGTAAAAAGTAAACAAATGCATCCAGACACTTTGATTTAATCACCTCCCACCAGATTTACAGTTCTGGCCTAGTTTTCACCTTTCTGTATTGCACCTTCTAAGGAGTATTTGTCTACTGCTAATTAGAGGATCTGACATTCCTTTAGGATACCTAGCGTGTCTTACAGAGATCATAATCACAATGACTGAGCAATATGCTGAAAACAATAATTCCACTTGAACAACAGTCTCAAAATGCACACCAGTTGCAAATAAACTGTCATAGACAGCAGGTACATTAAAACAGACAGAATACCATGTTATATCCAGTGTGAAACTAAGTTATTATCACAACATAAAAGTATCTACGAACCACTGTTAAAAATACTTCAAACAACATCAATTTTCCAGTATTTCAGTTACAGACATACTACTATTCAACACCACTGCACTACTTCATACCCGGATTTTTCAAGTACATTAATAATGACCATGCATTTCTATTTAGGTCAAATGTTAGGCTAAGTTTATTTGAAATTTGTCTACCTAAAACCATAATCCAGTTTAACTATGTTAACTCCTCTATAATTGACATGGACATTACACCAAGAGATTTCTATCACTGACCTTGATTTAAATGAAAAGGCCTTAAGAGGCAGAGAACAATCAAAACCAAAACCAACCCAGTATATAGTGAAGACATGCAAGTATGGCCTCTCTGAGTATTTATTTAGATTTATTATAAGGGATACCATATATTCAAGCAAAAAATGAGCTGCACATGACAAAAGATACACTGGCCTCAATTTGTTACTCTTTACTGCATACACAGCAAAAACTTACCAGCCATGCTCATTTGATTCTCTACAGTGTTACAGAAAATAAGTCTACATCTCCTTGTGCAATTTCATATATATTTTCAAAAAAACAAAAAAGATCCCAGTGGTACTCACACATATTTGATGGAATTAAACAGAAAATGCACAATAATCTTAGAACAATGTCATATGCATTCCTTCTCTCTGCTATGGGATCAGAAATTCCCACAGTGTTCTTCAAAGCTGCCTGAAATAGTGTTGAGAAAATGCAGAAGTGCAGTTGTAAATGCAGACTGAAATCCCAGGGAGAAGGTTGCCAACACAAAAATCTCCAATATAGGACACATTCCTACAGCTGTAAGCCCTTAAAGAGTAATTACCTGCATATTACTGTCATATGTATGTAGCAGCTACTCAAGTGAAAAATGCTCACTTCACACTAGCTAACAATAAGACAAAGATTACAGGAGACCTGATCCCCAGCTCTCATTGCTTCTGGCCTTATCTTTTTTGTTAACACAAGTCTTCCTGAAAAGAGGAGGTATGCCAATCACCTGGGAGTTGCTCCTTCCCTTCAAGTAAATATATGAGCAAATAATTTAGATTTCATAATATCACCCATAATAAACTCTGCCAACCAGGTACATGAATTTTTAGTGCAATTTAAATTTAATTAATGTAATTATTTTATATAAATTAAAACCTAATTAAAAAAAAAATATCTTTCCATTCCTCAACAGTAATAGTGCAGAAGACATGAGCACACACAATATTATGCCTCTGAATCCAAATGCTAGTGGAATAACAATATGTAAAAAAATCCCAGTTAAAAAAGCCACAATCCAGCAGTAATGACAACTTTCCTCCCCCACAGCCACGTTTCACTGTTGATTTATATAAAACAACAGTGTAGCAGAGCATCCTACAGCAGGCCAGCTGTGACAGCCTAGTTAAAAGCAGAACAATCACAAGGTCCTGAGAGCTTAGCCTGTGTGTGTAGCCATGGTCCAGCACGTACGACTGATCCGTACTTTATATCCCTTGACCAACTCCCTCCTCAAATCAATTCCCTCACATGCCTCACATGAATTTAATTGCAAATTCATCAGGGATATTTAATGGCATCAAGTTATTAACAATGTCCTCTTAACACTCATGACATGTAACTTGCAAAGAAAGTCCTGCTTTTTTTTTTTTTTTCTAAGTATCTTAATGCACAAGTTCTTAAGGACACTTGTAGTCTCCAATATGAGGGAGACTGCAGTAGGATTTTTTAATAGAAATAAAACGTACTGAAAAACATTTCCAGATGCAAATATGAACTGTTGATTAACTTTAACAAAACAAAAGTTGATAAATATAACAACAGATTAAATGTGTTTTTTTCTGGTCACCAACACTTGCCAAATGCAAATGGGTCAGTATCTCAACATTAAACAGATTTGACAGAATTTTTACAATTATAAATTAGTACATTTATTTACAATTATAAATTAGTACAGGAATGTTGTCCGGGAAGCTAGGGACCAGGTTAGGAAAGCTAAGGCCCAGTTAGAATTAAACTTGGCTAGGGATATTAAGGATAACAGGAAGAGATTCTACAGGTACATAGCAAATAAAAAACAGACTAGGGAGAAGGTAGGCCCCCTCAGGAAGCTCTTGGGGGAGCTAGCTACACAGGATTTGGAGAAGGCTGAGGTTCTGAATGACTTCTTTATCTCGGTCTTCACTGGCAAAGGCTCTGATCGCACCACCCAAGTCCTGGAAGGCAGACACAGGGCCTGTGAGAATTAAGACCTTGGGCCTACTGTAGGAGAGGAATTGGTTCGAGACCATCTTAAAAATCTGAATGTGCACAAGTCCATGGGTCCTGATGAAATCCATCCGCGGGTCCTGAAGGAGCTGGCAAATGAAGTTGCTAAGCCGCTGGCCATCATATTTGAAAAATCACGGCAGTCAGGTGAAGTTCCCGACGACTGGAAAAAGGGAAATATAACCCCCATTTTCAAGAAGGGGAAAATGGGTGACCCAGGGAATTACAGACCAGTCAGTCTCACCTCTGTGCCTGGCAAAATCTTGGAGCAGATTCTTCTGGAAGGCATGCTAAGACACATGAAAAACAACAAGGTGCTTGGTGACAGCCAGCATGGCTTCACTAAGGGGAAATCCTGCCTGACCAATTTAGTGGCCTTTTATGATGGGGCTACAGAACTGATGGACAGTGGTAGAGCAGTTAATGTCATCTACCTGGATTCGTGTAAAGCGTTCGACAGTGTCCCACACGACATTCTTGTCTCTAAATTGGAGAGACATCGATTTGATCAATGGACCAGTTGGTGGGTAAAGAACTGGCTGGATGGCGGCACACAAAGAGTTGTGGTCAATGGCTCAATGTCCAGTTGGAGACCAGTAACGAGTGGTGTCCCTCAGGGATCGATGTTGGGGCCAGTCTTGTTTAACATATTTGTCACTGACATGCACAGTGGGATTGAGTGCGCCCTCAGCAAGTTTGCCGATGACACCAAGCTGTGTGGTTCGGTTGATACGCTGGAGGGAAGGAATGCCATCCAGAGGGACCCTGACATGCTTGTGAGGTGGGTTGATGCCAACCTCATGAAGTTTAGCCATGACAAGTGCAAGGTCCTACACCTGGGTCGGAGCAATCCCAGACACAGCTACAGGCTGGGCAGAGAAGAGATTCAGAGCAGCCCTGCAGAGAAGGACTTGGGGGTGCTGGTTGATGAGAAAATGAACACGAGCCGGCAGCGTGCGCTTGCAGCCCAGAAAGCCAACCATATCCTGGGCTGCATCAATAGGAGCGTGACCAGCACGTCGAAGGAGGTGATCCTGCCCCTTTACTCTGCTCTCGTGAGACCTCACTTGGAGTATTGTGTGCAGTTCTGGTGTCCTCAACATAAAAAGCACATGGAACTGTTGGAACAAGTCCAGAGGAGGGCCGTGAGAATTATCAGGGGACTGGAGCACCTCCCATATGAAGATAGGCTGAGAAAGTTGGGGCTGTTCAGCCTGAATAAGAAAAGGCTGCGTGGAGAGCCTTTGTTTGAAATGGGAGCTGGTCAAAACAAGGGGATTCTGAAGAAAAGCCCATTGGGTTACATTTTGGCACATTGGAAAGAACTGGGAGGGTCTTCTGGGGGCTCGGTGAACAAGAAAACATTGATAAAATATTGTAACCAATGGTGGCCTTTATATACTTTGGAAAATCAGAAGAAATGGCCTAAAAATGGAACTCTGAATTATAATACATTGTTACAATGAATGTTGGTTTTGAGATGGCCAGGAAAATGGGATTAAGTACTATATACAGATATGTTTTTCACTCTAAGAAACCACCCGGAGTGGCAGGCAGAATGTGAAATTAATATAGCTCTGCCAGATCCCTAATTTTGGCTTTGGAAAAGGACAGGGGAAAACTGAAAGCTAAGCTGGAGAGATGTTGTTCGGCCTGTGATATTGGGAGAATTATGTTTAAAAGTTATAAATAGGAAAATTATATATCACGGATACCTCCGAGAGGAGCACCCTCTATATCTGTCCTATCAGATACTGATAAGGAGGAGGAGATTGCTGTCACTGGGAATAAGCAGCTCATTCACATTAAACCAGAAGTGCTGTTGCAGCAGCAGGCATCTGAAACCTCTGC